ATCTAAACCTTGTTTATTTATCTTGTTTAAGTTTAATTGTTTGGAATTTAGATTTTAGAAAAAGGGGGTGTTACAAGTTGGTATCAGAGCGGTACGAACCGCCGGGACATAGGAAAACTGAGCCTTAAGATTGAAAATAGGAGCCCTGAGTTGAAGTACTAGGATGGTCAAGTTAAGGAGATGAACCCTAAGTTGACCTAGGATGAGAAAGACTTTAAGTTAAGTGTTTAAGTGTAAGAATTCCAAAGTTAAGAAGTTCTTTTGAGAATACTAGTTAGGAACGCGGTGAGATTGTGAGTTTCTTACGCTTGTTTAACCCGATTATGTGCTTATCTAACGTTTTTGACTGAGCTGTTTGACAACCCCACACAGTATCTCCGCCTCATGGGAGCTCTACAATATTTAACCATCACGAGGCCAGGTCTCTCTTTTTCGGTGAATCGGTTGTGTCAGTTCATGTATTCTCCTACTAATGATCACTAGGGACTCCTCAAACGTGTCTTACGGTATGTTAAAGGAACGCTTGAACACGGTCTACGCCTATCAGCTTCCTCGCATGTTGACATTCATGCCTACTCCGATTCAGACTGGGTCAGATGTCCGGTTGATCGGAAATCTACAAGTGGGTATGCAGTATTTCTTGGCTCCAATTTAATTTCCTGGGTGTCTCGCAAGCAGCGGACTATCGCTCACTCCTCAACTGAGGCTGAATACAAAGGACTTGCAGATGTATCGGCCGAGGTCACATGAATAGTCTCCCTACTTCGAGAACTTGATCTGCACTTAGGCCGCCCTGCTACTCTTTGGTGCGACAACCTTTGACGCCACATATCTGTGCGCCAATCCAGTATTTCATGCAAGGACCAAACACGTTAAGATAAACTATCACTTCGTCCGGGATAAGGTTTCCTCTGGAGACTTCATGGTTAATTTTGTGTCCACTAAAGAACAACTGGCCGATATCTTCATGAAGCCTTTGCCTGCTCCTCGTTTTGGTACGCTGCGAGACAAGCTCAATGTTGTTGCCCTCCAACCTTGTGCTTGAGGGGGTGCGTTAGTGTATATATGTGTGGTTAATATAATATGTGGTCATGGTTAGGTTTGACTCTAGCTAGCCTATTGTACAGGAGTAGGTTATGTCTTCTATTGTTTTTTTTTCTTCTATTGTTATTAGGATTGTATTATTGTAACAACTTCAGTTAATCAAAACACAATTCTCTCATCCATATTAATCAATTAGATGAAATAATGGCTAAAACTATTCAAAGAACTGTAATTAGGTTATCAAATTAAGAAGAAAAAAAAAACTATAAATAAGTACTTGGAATTCAAAAACAAAAATTAATTGAGCCATTTTAACTTGTTTTTGCTTACAAAATTCAAATTAATGATGACTTGGGTGTAACCTTATTATATTTTCCTAAATTAGATGACAACAACAATAATAATTGTTGTTGTTGTTATAAATAAAAAAATAAAAATACTAAAAAAAGTTTGGTCGTCATGATAACCTTCGTCTTTGTCCGTAATGGGAAAAGACAATTAGTTTTGTCTTCACCTGATAGATAACTAAAGTGAAGTCAATCGTCAAAATATGGACAAAGACTTAGGCAGTCGCTAGCAGTTGAGAGGGTGAAGGGAGATAGCTGGCGATGAGTAATGGTTGCCAGAGGTGACATGACTATTAATGAATTACATTACTCTATATTTTTTTGCGATAAAATATCGTTGAAGAAAAAAAAAAGACTAACAACAACAACATTATTATTATTATTATTATTATTATTATTGTTATTGTTATTGTTATTGTTATTGTTATTGTTATTGTTATTGTTATTGTTATTGTTATTGTTATTATTATTATTATTATTATTATTATTATTATTATTATTATTATTATTATTATTATCATCATCATCATTATTATTATTATGGTTATGTTGGTTCCAAGTATCAAATTTAAAAGAAAAATGTTGGATTGAACATACAATACATAATCACAACTTGAAGTTTATATGCAAAAACAAGTCAAAATGGTTCAATCGCATTTTTTTTTCAAGTTTATGTGCCTATTTAGAGCTTCTTATTATTATTATTATTATTATTATTATTATTATTATTATTATTATCATTATTATCATTATTATCATTATTATCATTATTATCATTATTATCATTATTATCATTATTATCATTATTATCATTATCATTATCATTATCATTATCATTATCATTATCATTATCATTATCATTATCATTATTATTATTATTATTATTATTATTATTATTATTATTATTATTATTATTATTATTATTATTATTATTATCATCATCATCATCATTATTATGGTTATGTTGGTTCCAAGTATCAAATTTAAAAGAAAAATGTTGGATTGAACATACAATACATAATCACAACTTGAAGTTTATATGCAAAAACAAGTCAAAATGGTTCAATCGCATTTTTTTTTCAAGTTTATGTGCCTATTTAGAGCTTATTATTATTATTATTATTATTATTATTATTATTATTATTATTATTTGGTGACCTAATTACACTTTTTAAAATATTTAAATGGTTTATTTGGCTTTTATCACTTTATTTATTTTGATTCTTGATGGGGATATGGGACCCTAAGGGGTCCATTTTATTGGGAAAGTATTGACCCAAGTGGGGGTGGTGAAAGGAGCTTGGCTCAAGTCTTGTTGGGCTGGGAAGACAAGCATGCATGCATGGTGGGTCGGGGTGAAGAGCATGGACCGGAAGAGGGGGTTGGTGAACGGGAGGTGGTTTGGGGTGTTGTCAGGAAGCGTCGCCGCCGGCGGCTCTCGCTGGTTCGGGCAGTGCGCCTTTGCTCGGCGCGGCTAGCGCGCCCGGTGGCGCAACCAACGCACCATGCGCGGCTGGGCGCGGGCGTGCGAGGCCACGGGGGTGGTGCCCGGCCAGCGCCCATGGCCGGGGGAAGTCGCCGGGTGGGGCGCTGACCCCAGCCGGCGGTAGCTCGGGCCTAGCACCCCGATCGCGGGGGGCGCGACGGCATGCGGTCGCCGACACCGGGCGGGTAGGGCCGCCCGGGGTGCGGGCGGTGCGCGGGAGAAGAAGGTGGGTGCATCGGTTCGTGGCGAGCGTGCAGACTACTGTGCGATAAACGAGGGAGTGACGTCTGAGTAGTGGAACACGTGGACAGCCAAAGGAGAAGGGGGGGCCTACTATAAATAGGGGCCCTGGATCTTTGGCTAAGGGCAACTCAGACACAATAGACACCCTAGTCTAGTGGTCTCTGATCTATACTTTCAACCCAGCCACCTGGGTTCGATTCCTCTCAGTAACATATCTAGCTATAGTGCGCCCATTCCTTGAGTCGCGTTCTTTGTATTTGGGCCGCCATTATGGACCTGTACCTCGGGCTTATATGTACTATTTTGGGCCTAGCGCCCCGAGTAATAAAGTCATTACTTTCCTACTCTCGTTCTATATTTTTGTACCCGGTTTATGGTGGACCCGGTCCCAATAAAACCATCAATTCTAATTCATATTTACCATCAAATAAAGAGACTATATTCTTTTTACTAAAATCAATCTCAATTACTTAATGTTCAATTCTATTTACAATTCAGATTCCAAAATTTTAACCAAACCAAACATTCCTTACTTTTCTCCAGCTTGTGTACCAAGTATATGGACATACAAAGTGAAAAATCTAAATGAGTATAGAATTAACTAAGTAAAGCACTTGATAAAGGAGCATGGATAGGTTGAATTGATTGACAATACTCAAAAAGGATTTTTTATGCATTTTTTTTGTAGGTATGAGTTGTAAAATTATTATTATTACTCGTTGATTAACTCATACTGAGAATTGTTACAGAGAAAAAGAAGAAACTAATTAAATGAGAAATAAGAAAATTAATAAAGGAAAATAAGAGAGTAATTCTGATGATGAAAATAAAATGAATGTGGATAACAAATAAAGAAGGTACAAAGGAGATGAAGAATGATCATCCTTAGTAACCTCGATATGTTTTTATTTTATTATTTTTTTGGGACGCGATAACTTTACCATTATTATTTAAGAGTGTATATTGGATAAATTTTGCTATTGTATAATAGCTCCCAAACCCGATATGAAACATTTGATTGCTTTATGTATTACTTCACACTTAAAAACTTGTTTTGTTGATGACTTTAATTGATAGCTCTGTTTTTATATGTTTCTTAATAATTTTTTAAGCAAATTTCATTTTTAGTCATAGACTATTGTGTCATTATCACATTTAATCATACTTTTTTAGTTTTGTTACATTACATCCTTAACTTTCATTCTTTTGCCACAATTAGTCATTTTAAAATTTTGTTATTCCACCATTTCATAAATACGATTAATATGTAGTTTCAAATTCAATTAAAAAATTAACAAGAGATGAAAAGAAATTACATGTTGGGACAAATATGGCTAATATGTAGTTTATATAATGAAATATAATATTAGTCGATACTATAACCTTTCTAATATTATTAAAAGTTTAGCTGTAACCTTAGACAAGTTAGTCAGATTGTTAACTTATTAATTATAAGGTTACAAGTTTGACTTTCAATAAGAGCAGTGGCCTATTGACTTCATTGGTTTGATAAGTAAATTATGAACAACCTATATTAAATTAACGGCTAAGATTACGAAACGAAATTTATCTAAATATTAATTGTGAGTTTTTCTCGTCACTCAAAAAAACTAATAAAACAATTTAGATAATACAAAATTTAATAGTATAATGAAATGAATCCTCAGATTTTTGGTTGACTGGATTAAAAATTGAGTAAACTACAGTGTCACATCATTATTATCCTTAAACTCTTTTACTACATTTTCTTCTTTGACTAACATTTCAAAACCCTACCGAAAAGATATGAGTTATGAGTGGCAATATCGATATTAATAGGGGAGTGAAGGGTATTTATGTAATATGAGCGTCCTCTCAACAATCCCCCGAAGCCTCTATTTTTGCACGCATCACAACCCATAATTACTTCATATCATCCCACAGCTTTCACAGAAAATAATGGAAGAGCCGGAAACTCCAACCGCCTTCTCCGCCGCGTCGGCGGCGGCGGCGATGAGCCATGAAACAGCCATGTTTTCCGACGACATCGACAGCAGTTGCTCCACTCCGTATGTTAGCGCCCCCTCCAGCCCGGGCCGCGGCCAACCTCACTGTGGATTTTACTACAGTGCTCCCGCTAGTCCCATGCACTTCGTGCTTTCCACCTCTAGTCTCATTTCCAGCGCTTCTGTTCACTCTGAGGCGGCGGCGGCGGCGAATTCCTCCTTTGAATTCGACTTCTCTTCCAGGTTGGCCGGCGAGGGAGATGCCTGCGCTGGATCTATGAGCTCCGCCGACGAGTTGTTCTTCAACGGCCAGATCCGGCCGATGAAGCTTTCCACGCATCTCCAGCGCCCGCAAGTCCTGGCGCCGCTGCTTGATCTCGACGAATCGGAGGAGGTGGATATGGATGGCGGCGAGGAACAGGCGTGTAGGGGGAGGGATTTGAAGTTCCGCGATAGATCTTTGCGCCGGAGGACCCGATCCATGTCGCCGCTCCGAACCGGTTCGTTCCAGTGGGACGAGGATTTCGAGGACAATGGAGAACGGAAACCTAGCAATGAGAAGAAAGAGAAATGTAATGAGGGGGAAGTTAAGCACGAAGATGAGGCCAATGAAACGACGCCGTGCAATTCCGGATCCTCTTCGCGGTCCTCTTCTGTCGGGAGGAGCTCCAAGAGATGGGTGTTCTTAAAGGAGTTTCTCTACAGAAGCAAGAGCGAAGGCAGGAACAATCCCCACAAGTTCTGGGGAGCTTTATCGTTTTCTCCAGTGAAGGAGAAGAAAATGGGAGGAGCCATTAAAACTCCTCCACCCAGCGCCGCCGCCGCCGCGGATGCGCCGGCGACCAGCACCGTCGCTTCAGATGTGAAGAAACCAAAACCTGCGAAAGAGGCGAGGAAGAAACCGGTGAACGGAAACTCAGCCGCCACCGGGAAAAGGAGGGTGCCGCCGTCGCCTCACGAGCTGCATTACACGGCGAATCGGGCGCAGGCGGAGGAGATGAGGAAGAAGACATTCTTGCCGTACCGGCAAGGCTTGCTGGGTTGCTTGGGGTTTAGCTCAAAGAGTTATGGAGCCATGAACGGTCTCGCTAGAGCATTGAACCCCGTCTCTTCAAGGTAAACTTGTAAAGTAAATCTAAAAGATTACCACTATTAATGTATAGAGAGATTTTTCACCTTCCTTTATTTCATTTTTCTTGCTTTTGGTAATGTTTTCCAGTGATTGTGATGTCTATTTTAAGATGTACCAACTGATGGGAACTTCTCTTTAGATTGGAAAGAGAAGTTTTCGATCCATCTGCTTAATCATGGATTTGGTTTAGTACTTGTGTAGCCATTCATGGAAATCTATGAAATTTCTTGAATCCTTATTACCTCATCTCTCTCTCTCTCCAAACACATACAAGAAACAATGATTATTTTTGAGTAGATGAGATCTTAATCTGGACCACAAAGAACCAAGATTTTTGCTTTTAATTTGCAAAAGCAGATGTGATGACATCAATAGTGAATAGCCAGAGAAGAGAGAAGTCATATTCTTCTTCTATCATTATCACATCACCTATTCAGTTTGGTAACCTCTCAAATGTTGGTCCCATAAGATTTTAACCAAATCCCATGAATAGATCAGATTTATGTGTTGTAAATCAAGAGTTGCATATCTAGATTGTAATTTTCTATTCACTTTTCAAGCTTTTTGTTTTTTTAATCCTTAATTAACTCAAAAAGTGGGTAGAAACATTATATTCACTCACTTTAGAGGGTGGAGTTTGAGAAAGTGAGAAATTTTGGGAAAGGGGGTGAATAATGGGATGATGAATAGTAGCAAGATTGGATTTTGTTGGACCAATGATTTGATCCCCACATGGTTTTGTTGGGTTGTAGGAGAGAGGTCTTCCATATATAGACCCACAATGGCAAAGGGGTCTGTCCCTTTGCCAACAATATCATCAGAGCCTCTAGCTGTTCTTGGCTGTACATATCCATCCTAGGGGGTGGGTGTCCTTAGGGGGTGGAGTGTAGGGTTGAAGCAATTGCTTGCTCATATTTCATGATTTGATTTGATTGTTGTTAGAGATGGGTTTGAGAAAATGGAATGGAATGGAATAGATGGTTGGTGTAGTGGGGGGCTTTATAGGGTTTGGGTTGAAAGAGAGATTTAAGAGGGGATCTGTTTTGGTTTTGTCTGATTCTCTTCATTAGTTTGCACACCTTTGAATATGAACAAGGCAGATAGATGTTGATGAAAGGCATAGTTACCTCACTTCACTTGTCATGAATCAGATGTTGACATAATAAAGGACTTTTACTCTATTGCCTCACTTTTTATATTTTATCCTTTACTTTCAATTCTTATATTCCTATGCTGCATTTTACCAATCATATGTAGTACTATCTCTTCCATTTTATGTGTCTGATTCGGTTATTATTAATTTATTACAAAATTTATATATTTAGAAACAACACTAAAATTACTATTAAACAAAAAAATAAATAAATAAAACTAAGTACGAAAATACCCTGTTTCAAAAAAAAAGTACGAAAATACTAAAAAAAAAAAAAAAACAAAGCAAAAAGAGTTAATTTGAACCATAAAAATAGTAAATAGGACAAATAAAATGAGATAAAGAGGTATTTATTTGTTAATTAATTTTTTTTTTTTGGTTAGTTTCTTTAATATATACGGTGTGTGTGTGTGTGTGTTAGGTTGCTCACATTTATATACCCACATTTATAATTTTTAAATTTAAGAATTTTTCTTTGTTTAATTATAATTTTGATATAGTTTCTAAATATATAAATTTTATGTACTAAAACTAAACTAATAAATACTATAAAAATTAAATTATAAATAATTTTAGTCAAATTTTGTTAATTGAATCAGACATATAAAATGAGATGAATGAAATATTAGTGAGAGTTCGTTTAGTATAAGGGGTTAAAGTGTAGTTTGGTGGAGAAGAGCTTAATCTTTAGGCAAGAATCTAGGGTTCAAATCTTTACCATTTTTTGTCCGAATATAATACGCCACATTACAAAACTTGACATGGCAATACCATGTCACAAAATCTAACATAGCAAATTAAACGTCACGTAACTTAACCGAAAAATAAGCGGTGTTAAGTTTTGTCTTTAATCTGACATGACAAAATTAAAGTACAAGGACAATGAATAAAATGTTACAGTACAGGGATATCGATGAACACAATGTTATAGTACAGGGACCTAGCAGGTACTTTGATCTATAAAATAACGAATTTATGTTTGGCCATGTATTTTGTGGTCTAATCACTTATATGATCTTGGGGAAATTAAACTCTCACATGTATGTATGTATGTGTGTGTGTGTGTGTAATAATAATTTAAATTTAATAAAATATATACGGAGTATATATTGTCCTAGGTAGTATTTAAATGTTCACAAGGTATTTGTGCAACTAAGTACAAGTGGGGACCTTGGTCCAGCTACTTACTAGCTCAAGTGTGTAGTCCATGTTGCAATTAATGGAAAACCAAACCTTCTATTTTTACTCCATAAATTTAGCTTACCAAACTGCCTTCAAATTTAAAACCTTGTCCATTTTTTAGTTCCAAGTAGTAATGAAGTGTTTTTAAAAACTGTCCTTATACCAACGCTCAATCTCTCTCTCTCTCACAGCTTCTTTCCTAAAGCATTACATATTTTATTATAATTTTAACTTTTGAATTTTTTTGGGTGTATAATAAAAATTTTAATATAATTTCTGAATACATAAGTTGTACGGAGTATGCCAATTTTAATTTCTGAATACTTGTTGAGGCACAAAGAGTCAATATTGTCTCCATTGAGACTCGAAGTTGTGACCTTTCATTTAGAAGAGTTACTTCATGTCACTTGACAACAAGGTCATTGGCATTTTACTTTTGAGCAAATACCAATTTTGGTCCCATGAGTATTAGCAAAATGACAGTTTTAGTCCACAAGTTTAATTTTTACCAATTTTCATCCACGACTATTGTTTTAGTACCAATTTTCATCCACGATTATTGTTTTAGTACCAAAATTCATCACATTGGTCACCCATACGTTTCAGGTATGCCGAAATATGAAATTATTAAGGGTATTTTCTTCATTTTCAAATTAAGATCTCAATTTGAGCATGAATAAAGGAATTTAAGCCCTAAGATCGATCCTAATTCACAGTTTTCTTCCTCAAATTAAGGTTGGATGAAGGGGAGAACTGCAAATTGAGATCAATCTTAGGGCTTAAATCTCATTATTCATGTTCTATTTGAGATCTTAAGTTGAAAAGGATGAAATACCCTTAAAATTTTTTGATTTCGTCATGTCTTAAACGAATAAGTGACTGGCGTGATGAATTTTGGCACTAAAATAATAGTCGTGGATGAAAATAGGTACTGAAACAATAGTCGTGGATGAAAATCGGTAGGAATTAAACATGTGGACTAAAACTGTCATTTTGGTTATACTCGTGGGACCAAAATTGGTATTTGCTCTTTTACTTTTCTATGTATGTTTTACAATTTAAATTTCTGTTTTTTTTGTTTTGTTTAATATGATATTTAATTTAATTTCTTATATAAACTCTAATTACTAATATTGAATCAATTAATGCACTACAAAAATTTGAGCTAGAAACAAAGTGAGTCACATTTATCCTAACCTAGACTCAAGTTGTACTATAAAATGATATACTCTAATAATAAAAGTCAGTCGTACTATAAAATGATATATACTCTTAAGGCTATTCTTATCGGTAATTTATATCGTGCACCACGATGCATATAGCAATGTGCGCTCAGACACAAAACGCGCGTGTTTCTTGCTGACGTCACTCCGTTCGTCCGAACAGACCAAACTTCATTATGTGTATTTAGTTAAAAGTTTATGTGTATTGTGTTATGAGTTTATGTGTATTCAGTTAAGAGTTTATGTGTATTCTGTTAAGAGTTTATGTGTATTCTGTTAAGAGTTTATGTGTAGAGTTTATGTGTATTATGTTATGAGTTTATGTGTATTATGTTGTAGTTTATGTGTATTATGTTGGAGTTTGTGTATTACGTATGAAGTTAGATTATGTGTATTCTGTTATGAGTTTATGTGCATTCAAAACAGAGGATTTTTTTTAACAACTTAACAAAACGACGTCGTTTTGAGAGGCGTGGGGCGCACAGTGCTATGTGCGCTGTGGTGCACGGTATAACAATTGATCCTTATCCCTGCAATTAGGGGTGAGAATACAATCATTATTGTGTGGACCATGGTCTACACAAGTTGTGTGGACCATATTTTGTCTACTGTAAAATAATGTACATTCAGTACAAAAATAATGTATATTCAGTACAAAAATAATGTACATTTTATTCAGGGAATGTGCATTATTTTTGTTTTGAGTGTACATTATATTGTATAATGTACATTCAGTATAAAAATAATGTACATTTAGTATATTAAAAATGTATTTTTGTTATGGTCCACGTCCACACAATAATTTGCCGTGAGAATAGGCCATATCCCTTCGTAGGGGCCTAAGGCCCAGCATATTTAAGGCCTACATAGGCCTGGCTTGTTTAGTAAAAAAGTTTGGCTTGGGCCCATTATGAAGCCTATTAAACTAAACAGGTCAGACCTATTTATACAAAGCTTGGCCTTCAGACCTACATGCCTAGTCTATTTACACACATATATATAATTTATTTGTAATATTAAGTTAGTATATATTCTATTTTATACCTAATATATTTTTATATTTACAATATAATTCCAAGTATATATAATTATCAAACTTTAACCCTCCACCTCCAAAATCGCATTCTAAATTCTGATTCAACTATAAACATTGTTGTTAATCCTATTATAAGTGTTCTTATTGTTTAATTGTTCTTACTATTAAATATTTAATGAAGTGTCACGACTCGGAGTGAGCATCGGTCGGTTACGGTCAATAACCGATGACATTTTTTAAATTTCCATAACTGACCGAAACCGACCGAACATACACTTTTAATCAACCAAAACCCATTATGTCGGTTTCGGTCGGTTATTTTGGTAACCGAATAACCGAGCATCCAAAAATAATATTACAAATAATGAAATTATATATATATATATATATATATATATATATATATATATATATATATATATATATATATATATATATATAAAATAATAATAATAATAATAATAATAGTATTGGTTATTCGGTGGCTGCGGTTATTATACCTTTATGATAAATAACTGAATAGTCGAATAATTGATTTTTTTTTTTGTTAGTCTTATAACCGATAACCGAAATTATCAGTCGGTTCGGTTATCGGTTATCGGTTATCGATTTTGTCGGTTTTTCGGTAATTATGATCACCCCTAGTCATGAC